AGCAGGGAGCCCAATGCGGGACTCGATCCCGGGACTCCAGGATCATGACCTGAGCCGAAGGCAGTCGCTTAACCAACTGAGCCACCCAAGCGCCCTAAACGTATGTTTTTAAAAAAGCATCAAAGTGCTTTAAATTTTTTTTCCAGAAAAGAATCCTATGCATATTCCAAGTTTATAAGATATAAAAAGAGCATTTCTGTGTGAAGGAGGTGGGACTCCCAGGGTCCTGTCTGGCTCTTTCCTGTCATTGTCTGCTCCCACATGCATTCCCCAAAGCTCCTCCGTGCAAACTTGGCTTTCCCAAACACAGCTTGAACCCCCTGGACTAGTTCCTCTCCGTGGTCTGTTCTAGGTCTACCCCACACTGCAGTGACACTCCCCCTTCCATGGAGATGGAAGAGCAGGGCCTGGGGGCAGGGGCGAGGTTAGGAATAGGTACCCATTATGACCCAGTCACAAACTGGGCAGAGAGGATGCTGGTCAGTGTGCTGGTTGAATATTAGTCACTTTTTGTCTTAGAAACATATGCGACAAGATATCGTATTAATAGTATTGTGTTCTATTAGTAGTACTGAGTTGTATAATGTATTTTAAAGTACAGTCTTTGGGTCCCATCCAGATTCATTTGAATAAAAATTTGGGGCTCTTATTTTGAACGGTGTCCACAGGAAATGGGTAAATAACAACAAATAAACAACCTTAAATGAAAACATGAAAACCTTTATTCTGGATTCTTGGTAGGGTGACAGTCTCCAGGAGGAATGGGCAGAATGAGCTGGGACTTGAGTTGACTCTGAGCATAGTCGGGGCAAGAATAACACCAATAATATAATGAAGGGCTGACTCCAGGATAGGATAGTTTCCAGGCCTAGCAGCCCATGAAATAGGTGTGTTTCTTAGGGCTGCCTTAACAAATCATCACAAATTTAGTGGCTTAAAAAAAAACTCCAGAAATTTATTTTCTCACAGTTCTGGAGGCCAGAATCTGAAATTAAGGTCCCAGCAGGGCCACACTCCCTCCAAAGGCTCGGGGAGAATCCTTCTTTGCCTCTTGCAGGTTCTGGTGGCTGGCTGTAGGCATTTCTTGGCTTGTGATTGTAAATCCTATCTCTGTCTTTGTCTTCAGGCAGACTTCTTCCATTTTCCCTGTGTCTTCTTCCTTCCTGGTATCTCTCATGAAGATCCTTGTTGGATTTAGGGCCCACCTGGATAATCCAGGGTGATCTCAAGATCCTTAACTTCATTACATCCACAAAAGCTCCTTTCTCAACCAAGGTCACATCGATAGCTTCTGGAGGTTACGATGTGGACATATTTTAGGGGGGCCACCATTCAGCCTACTACAAAGTATTATTAACCCTGCTCTTAGGTATGAGAAAACCGGGCTTCAATCCATGCAGGTCATTTGCCCATAGCTGCTCAACTGGTGGGCAGCAGAGCTGGGCTAGGACTCCCCCTGAAGCCTGCTTCATGCTCCGTGTACTACAGAGCATTGTGGAACGTCAGGGACCAGGCAGATGTAGGACAGTCCCTATCAACCCAGCTCGGAAGGCACGGCTTTGCCCGCAGAGGGCGCTCAAGGTCAGTCTGTTACGGAGGTGGTTATTGATTCTGAGGCCTCTGCCTGAGCTTCTGGGAGGTGGCAATCTGATGTACCTGTCTCTGTATCCCTAGCACAGTGCTGATAATGTTGGGTAAATGAAACTGAATGCCTGTGTGAAGATACTTTGCCCACATGTCCGTGTACCTTCATCGTGTCTACAGCGTGTAGTGGGTGGGAGGGCTTCGATGCTGTGGGAACGGCTGTGTGGGACCAGAGCTCCCTCTGGGAGGCCCAGTGCCTGCCTTCCCCACAGTCTACTTGAGGGACTTCAGATCGGTCACTCTGCCTTGCTTTCCAAGTATGTAAGGTGGCCTTAGTCATACTCAGTTTTCCTACAGATCTCACTGGGTGTTTCTGTTATGTTCGTTTAGTGGGGTGGGTGTCGGGGTGGGTAGGGGAGCATCCTGTCTGAAGGCAGGAGGAAGTACAAGATAAAATTTCCAAGCCCCTTCCAGCCCTGGGGTTTTGGGAAAAAATTTAATCATGTTTTACACCGCCAGATGTAAGCACATATTGTAACTGTGGGGGCAACATGAAATTGAGGACAATCGTGCTCTTTCACGTTGATGAGGGCAAGAAGCATTCTGCTTAAACTGTGATCAGAAGGATGGAGGTCAGACAGAAATCCCTTTGTGATGGCAGCGGATCTGTTTCATGGGAACGGGGCCCGAGGCCGGCTTCTCAGGGGGCAGTTTGGTAGCTGGGAGGACTGTGGTGTGCAGAGGCAGGGATGAAGGGTGACGAAACATTTTGACATAAGGAAAGCTTTCCAGAAGCTTACAAGGCCATGAAACCTTGTAATGGGTGGTTGGGAATTGAGATGGTCCTGGAATCAACAAAACAGAGGCCAAATCCTTAATGCTCTTCTCTTGATTTGGAGGTCTTTCTGCCTGGTAGAGGGCTGTGAGGCCTCTTATCAGTGCAGCTTGGGCTTTGGAGTCAGGCAGACTGGGTGAGGTTCCTCCATTGTCAGTTACCCGTTGCTGACCTTGTACAAGTTACTTAACCGTCCCAGGTTGCTTGGCTGTAATAGTGATACTGATGCCTCACTCCTGAGCTTAAGTGTGAGGATTAGATGAGTCAGGGCACGTGAAACACTTAGCACCGTGCTTGGCACACAGTAAGCGTTAAGAGGCTCTGACATGTATGTGTGAAACCCTGTCATCCTCATCTGTGCCTTGCGGACAGTTTGGAAAGACTCCAGGTTGGGGCAGGAGAGCCTCTGTGCTGTTAGAAGACAAATGCTGTCTGTGTTTCAAAATGAAGGCAAATTGAAACTTGATTTTTTTTTTGATCAAAACCCTTAAGTCAAGGCAAGGCTTGGTGGAGCACCACGAGTCCCGTTTTCTGTGATTGTGGGTCTCGGGTCAGGGTATTGGATGCCTCTGCTCCCCCTGACTTCCTTCTGCTGCTTTGGTGACTGCCCACAGACAGGCCAGCTCCCAGTCATCTGAAACACCGGTCAGAAGGCAGGAATTTGCAATCCGTTCCAAGCTGGAAGTGACTTTCATGTGATGGGGCCTCTCTGCTCTGTGACTCTGTAACCAATTCTCCCAGCTCTGGCGGCTCTCCAGATGCCTGGGATGTATTCAGTTGACCAGACAACTTCAGGTCCCATTCAGGAGAAGCCTGTGTCTGGCTTCTGGTCCAAGAGCTCCCAGCACGTGCAAAACACAAGCCCCAAGTTTCTCTATGTTTTTTTCCCTGTTCCTTTCAGGCAGCTCTTCTTAGGTGAGAAACCTACAACCTAAAAGGTTGAAAGAAGTTGAGGTAGTTAGGTAGAACAAATCAGGGCTGGACATCGATGACTGAGGAGGTCACCCTATGTGGCAGATGTTCATTTTTTATTGAGCCAAAGTAAATGGAAATGAACTGAATTGCCTTCCACCCATTTTTGTGAGAATGTTGGGGACGTTCATCGCCTCCAAGGGGGCCTTATAAAAGGAAGATGGCCCTGGGAATCCCAACGCTGGCTTCTGGCGCTAGCTGGGCTCCTAACTCATTGTGAAACTCTGAGCCGACCTCCTAACTTCTCAGGAAGTCAGTTTCCTTATTTCTAAAATTAGTTGGCTTCAGAGTTTCCTTCCCTATTTAAAATTCTTTGATGTATTTTCTAGTGTTAGATAAATTCTCTGTTGATAGATCTGTAAAGGAATTTGTAAGCATCTCTTATGTTTGCATAGTGCTTCGTTGTTTCATTTATTGTTTAGAACCTTCTGAGCTTGGCAGAGCAGTCGTGTTACCCCGGCACAGAGTTGAGGAAACTGAAGTCCAGATAAATTGAGTGTCTTGGCTTGGCCATGACTTTTTGGCTGGTGAACGGAGGAGGTGAGAACAAAACTCAGATCTCCTGATATCTAGTCCAGAATTCTTTTCCAATCTTGACACGTATGATTGTTGACAGAGCAAGAAACCCCATCTGATCCCGGCTGTCTCCATCAGAGGCAAAATCCTACTCAACTTGTTCTTCTGGATAATGGTCATCAGCTACCCCAGGTGGCTCTTCTTGGGTTCTTATTTGGAGTTCAGTTTATGATCAAATGTGCTAATGTTAAAAATTCAGATTTTCAAGGTGAGTCTTATGATCAGGCATGAAAAGTCAACAGGGGTATGTGGGAGTTTCGGTTGGAAACGAGCTTGGTGGGCATCTCTGTTCCACCATTAACTGGCCACTCATTTACCTTTGTTTTTACATCTTTAAAATGGGTGATGCAATATCCAATATTTAGGATACTCAATACATTAATTCTCTTGCTCTCTTCATGTTATCTTACTCATTTGTAATGAAGTTTTGGCGTTCATTACAGTTATGTCATATAGGAACATTGAATGACAGAGTGGTTATGATATGTTGCTATGGGAAACAAATGATACAAAGTGGGGTGTTTTGTATGTACTTATTTTTGGATAAAAATGTGAAATAGGGACACCTGGGTAGCTCAGTCGATTAGGCGTCTGCCTTCAGCTCAGGTCATGATCCCAAGGTCCTGGGATCAAGTCCAGCATCGGGTTCTTTGCTCAGGGGGGAGCCTGCTTCTCCCTCTGCCTGTTACTCCCCCTGCTTGAGCTATCTCTCTCTGACAAATAAATAAATAAAGTCTTTAAAAAAATGTGAAATAAGGTAAACAATCAAGAGAGAAGGATCATGATGTGGATTAATAATGGTTTTTGTATAGATGGTGGGACAACCAGTGCTTTTTACTTCTTTTTGCTTTTCTGCTTTTCCTTAATTATATACACTGACCATATGTTAAGGTGGTAATTAGTTTAAAAAAGTTTTGCCTTTAAAGGTGTACAGGTGATGATTTTATTTGATTGGGGAAAAATTGGACAACCAATGTACTTCCAGGTGGTATAAAACTGATTCCCAAATATTTTCAAAACAGACACAAATTGTGTCATCCGCAGTAATTGCTAATTAACCCTCTTTTTGTTCATTTAAGACAGCCGCTCTCAGCTGCTGTGGGTCAGTGGGATTGCGGATACTGCTGCCAAGCACAGTTGGGGCCCGGGCTTCACATCTGCTGCTCGCCTTTGCCAAACAGCTGTGTTCCGAGCAAGCAGCATGATGACACTCACCTGCAGGAAATGTGGGTCGTGGCGTTGGTCTGCAGGCTGGGGGACAAAGAGCTGACAGTTCCACTCCAACAGGTGGGCCAGCCAATCGAGAACCGGCTAGAGCAACGCAAAAAGAATGTCTGTTGCTCTTAGTAATGCGTGAGGGTGACCCAGCTGTTGGATAAGAGCCTGGGCAGGATGCTGTTGCAGTCTGGCTGAGAACCCACAGTCCCCAGGCCCGGGACTTACAACATGGAGGATCCTGACGGGAGTGTTCCCCAGAAGCCCTGGAGCGGGGCTGGAGAGAGACGGAACCACAGAGGGCAGAAATGGCAGACACACACAAGGGCGCCAGTTGAACACACAAGTCACTGCTCCAAGGTGTATTTTTGCTGCATTCTCTCTGTCTCGTCAGGAGCAGAGAGGAGTACTTTCTTTGCTCTCAGGAAGCAATAGCTCCAAAACTGAAAAATGAAAGAGCTTTATTTCATACACAATTGTACATTTTTAATTTTTGTATTTAAGTGTATTTAATTTTATGGTTTGAATTTTGTTTTGTGGCAAGTGGATACTGCTTTTCCGTCTCTGAAAGTAACAGTGTTCCCTTCAAAGCATATTGATTTAAATAAAAAAGGGGTCACTTACAATGTTATTAATAATATAGTTCGAGCATGGAATTGGCAGAAGTCTTTAAAGTGTATGCAGTCAGTTGAGATGTGGGCAGTACTATTATTCAGGGCCTGGCACGGAAAGGCCTGGGGTACTGTCTCCCTTACCAATTGAGTGAGTCAGCAGCTCCCAAACCTGTCTGTATATTGGAATCACCTGGAAGGCTGGGGCGGGGGGTGGGCAGGTAGGTCTTCAAAACTACTGTCGCCTGTCTCCCTTCCCAGAGATTCTGGTTTGATAGGTCTGGGGTATGTCCTGGGCTTTGGAGGTTGTCAGCGATCCCCAAGTGGTCCTCATGTCAGGCTCCTTGGGACCTCCTGCCACAGCACATTCTTTGATGTCCCCAAGACATTCTCCTTGTCTACAGTATGGGCATGTTGAGTGTCTGCTCTACAGGATCTGCTCTGGCCTTTGTGTTCTTAAAAATATAGGCAAATGCCTTCAAGTGAATGGTTTAACATTTTGTCTCTGATAGGGATTGCTGGGCAGGATGAGTCATCTAGGTTCTAGATGGAGAAGATGTCAGTGCAGGTCTAGTCCGGGGCTGTTGGTGCAAAAGGAAGAAAGTGGAACAGAAGATGGAGAGGAGGGGGTGCCTTACAGAAACTCTCCCTACCCCCAAGCCAGCTTCACGGATCATTCATATTTTCAGATAGAAATAGTATGGCATGGGGCAGAGCTAAGATCTGGATCTAGGAGCTATGGGCTAGACATAGACAAGCCCCTGTACCTCTTGGTGCCACAGTTTCCCCATTTGGAAGATGGGGGGGTGGACTAATTGGTCAGTAAGGTCCCTTCCATTCTGTATGGGGTAATCTAAAGCTCCTTTCTCTCACCCACAAGTCCTTTCTTGGCTTTTTGCCAATGGAATCCCCCAAGGGCCAGTAGATGGCAGTAGAGACTTTTGAATTGGGATTTTAGCGCTTCTGGCCCACCTGATTAGGCCTCCTACCCTGGCAATGCTGGGAATGCTGCCCCAGGACAGTTCTCTGCTGCTGAGCTCAACAGCTGCTGTCTGAATGTACTCATTCATGAGCCACAAAGGGGCAAAATTTAAAGGAATAGTATTTCTTTGGAGTTCCTAGACCAACGAGAGCGCGGCACAGTAGGACCAACCTGGTGCTCAGAGCCCAGTTACATCAGACCTCGCTTGCGTCTGATATTGGGTCCCTCTTCCTACAGTGATGCATGAGTAAGGGAGCGTGGACGAGCACAATTGGGCTTTTGTGGTAAGAGAGAAACTTGGGCCATTTTTAAGGCAGAACCAATTTCTGGGGGGGACTTAAATGTGTACATCACTGTATAGTTTTAAAGGGCATTCATATATGTGAACTCATCTTCGAAGCAACCCTTTGAAGCCGGTAGAAACAATTTTCAGCTTTGTCAGGTGAGGGAGCTGAATCTCAGGGTAAATGGGAAAAGGATTTGTTCAAAGGCATCTTGCTCTAAGGAGGTGATTAGAAACTCGAACTCAAGTCATTTGACTCCTAAGCCCAGTCTTCTTTCTGCTGATGGAGGCGCGTGGGCTAACGTGTTTCACGTTTGGATTCCTGGAGGAACTCAGGGGACATACATTTGATAAATCTTCATCATTCCCTTACTGTGTGTCAAGCACTGAACTGTGTTCTGGCAACGCAGAGATGAAAGGTAAGTAACCACCCCTACCTATACATACCGCTTTGTACGTTCTAGGGGCTATTCTGATACTTTAATCATCGCCCAAATAATCGCCCAAAATAAAGAAAGAAAGAAATAGCAATAATTGTCAATTTCATTCTTCATAACAGCCCTTTGAGGTAGGTATTGCTTTAACCCAATTTAGAGGTGAAGAACCTGAGACACAGAGAAATCATGAAACTTACTCCGGATCACAGGGCAAGCAGAGAGGCGGGGAAGCAGAGGCAGAGTGTTCTCGCTGTCAGTCTTTTCAAAAACACCCTCATCGAGATATAATTCACATACTCTGCAATTCGCCCATTTAAGGTGAACAGTTGAGTGGTTTTTGGTATATTTGGCGGAGATGAGAAAACATCACCACAGTCCATTTTAGACCATTTTTTTATTACCCTAATAGGAAGCCCTGTTTCCATTAGCAGTTGGGCAGTGGTGTTCTCAACGACTAGATGCTATATTCCATCTCGGTGGAGGAAGCATGTCATTGTCTTCTGTCTTCCAGGAGCTGTGCAGGCACTTCGATAGATGAGTACATTGCAATGCAATCAACATGACAGTAGTCGAGGCCCAAGGAACACACGGCCTACAGCGTAATGCAGAGCTTCAAAGCGAGGACTTCTACCTAGAGAGGGAGAGAGAATGGTTTTCTGTATGGGGCCTGAGTTTTCTGTTTGTGACAGAGCTGTGGGTTCATACTCCTGGAAATTAAAATGCGATTTGTAGTGGGGACACTTAACCTTGAATGCCAGGGGTTAGTGACCGTGATGGCATCCGATTAGCTAGAGACCCTTCAGTTCTTGTGGGAATGTGCTGGGCGGGCAGGAGGACGGCGTGCAGTCTGGGGTGAACAGAGGTAGGTTAAGAGCCCTGAGCTCCTGGTATGTGGGCTGTTCCCGGGGAAACTCGGTTGGCTTCCCTGTTATCCCCGGGGTCAACCTGGTGTGCTAAACTTTTCCAGCGGTGAAGCCGATCTAGGATAGGCCTTATCTTGGTAGTTGCAGAAACTTTCAAGGAGCAGCTGGAGGACCGAGGAACCCACAGCTGGGTTTCACTTGCTCTGTCTACAGTGCAGCCTCAGCGTCTCAGTGTTTCCGGTGCTTACGAAGATCCCTACCAGCTGGCTCCAAACACAGCTCCTGGGAGAGCTGTTTCTGGGAGGACTCTGGAGACTGCGTTTCAGCTTCAGGAACGGTGAGAAAAGTGCAGTCGAAAGTCTCGTTTTCATAACTTCACAGGAAAAATAATAGCGGCCATTGGTGGAATGCCTTCCAAGTGCCAGATGGTATGTTAAGGATTTTTCGCTTATTTCACTAAAATCTCCTGATAAACCTGTCAGGGCCCCATTCTTACACCGACTTTAGTGGAGAGGAAGATCAGAAGTGGGGGAAGAAGCATGCCCCAGGTTCACAGAGCTGGCACGCTAACCAGACTGCCCAGCTTGTCCTGGTGTGCCTGGGATTTTCCTGGTTTCGAGACTGAAAGTCCCACGTCCCAGAAATCACCTCGGTCCTGGGCAGGCCGGGACAGTTGGTGGGCCTAATACCCAGGACCATTGGCTTCCCTCTGCTGGGCCTGCCACCTAGGTGCTGAGGTTTCTTTGGCTGCTTTCTTGACAGCAGTACGTGGTTTGGGCTCCCCTTCAAAACCTACTTAGGGACGTGCCATGCTCCTCCCTATCTGTCCCTGAGTGCCTGCTCCCTGGCCCTACTCAAAGCCTTGTCTCCTCCCAGCTGTTTCCTGGCTCCCTCACTTGCCTAGTTCTTGTTTTGAGGCAGGCCCTTTACCGTTTATCTGTTGGTAGCTTCCCCCAAGCACCCAACCCACTGCTGGCTACAAATCATCCGAAGACGGGGGCTTGAGTTCCAGCTGAGCCCCCTCCTAGCTATGCCTCTTGGGGAAACCACCTCCCTGGAGCCTTTGCTTCTTCCTCCAAGGCAGGATGCCAACTGTACTCCCTTCTCAATGCTGCCATAGAGTTTAACTTACACGCAAGATAGGAAAATTGATTTTAAACATGAAAGGCACTGTGCACGATGGCTGCCATTACTGTTGGTGACTTCCTCCTTGCCCTGCCTACCTCAGGAAGGATAGATGAGCTCAGCGACTGTGTGGACCTGATTTAGCATGGGAGCTTTTGGTGCTCGCTGGTCGGACTACCCATGGCTTCTGTGTCCTCGGTTTCTTCTCTCCATTTTGTGAATTGAAATACAGGGTTTTGTGAGTGTCCAAGAAATTAGCTTGCGGCATGCTTAGTCTTGTGTCTGGACTGGCTTCAAGCTGGAAAAGCTTGAATCGAGTGTCTTCAAGTCAGCCGTCAGACCCAGCACTTGGAACACGGGCTCACGGTGTTGTCAATAAGTATTGTGGCAGGAAGGGATCAATGAATGAATGGGGGACAGCGTGTGCTGAGTAAGTGATAGGGAGAACACTAGGGCGGGAGGCAGAACTGCTTCATAAGGTTAAAAATGCTCAATGCAAACAAGCGCTTTCTCACAAACCACCCTAAATCTTTCCTAGAGCAAGGTGGCTTCAGAAGAAATGCATTGAATGAAAAGTATAAAAATTGACGTGGTCCCCTCTTCTTTTCACACGTTAGCTTCTCTTGGCTCTGGCCCTTCCTGCCGCAGTCCCGTGCCGGCCAGTCGCCTCTCGTCGACTGAGCACAGAAATGAGCCATTTTTTTTTTAAATAAAGATTTTATTTATTTATTTGACAGAGAGAGTGAGAGAGCACAAGCAGGGGGAACAGTAGAGGGAGAGGGAGAAGCAGGCTCCCCACCAAGCAGGGAGCCCGATGCGGGACTCGATCCCAGGACCCTGAGATCATGACCTGAGCTAAAGGCAGACGCTTAACCATCTGAGCCACCCAGGCGCCCCAAGCCATTTTTGTTATATCTATTTTAGAAGCATTTATAGAGGTTGGTTTTCCCTCTTCTCCACACCAATCCAGAACTTGTGGCCATTGTCAGTTATTTCTGTTATTTCTTCTTTTTTCACTTGTTTACCTCACCTCAGTGTCCTTTGCTGGTTTCTTTTTTCCACCCAGACCTCTTATGTTGGAAGGCCCTGGGCCCCATACCCGGGCCCCCTTTTTCTTAACTACGCTCCATCCTTTGGTGACCTCATTTGGTCTTTTGCCTTCAATTATTATTATTTTTTTAAGATTTTATTTGTTTATTATTTAGAGGGAGAGTGCACACACGTGCGAGCAGGGGGAGGGGTAGAGGGAGAGAGAATCTCAAGCAGACTCCCCGCTGAGTACAGAGCCCGACATTGGGCTCCATCTCAGGACCCTGAAATCATGACCTGTGCGAAAATCAAGAGTGGGATGGTTAGCTGACTGAGCCACCCAGGTGCCCCTTCACATTTCTGTCTCTGGTCTAAACCTCTTTTGAACTCATATAATCAATTGCCTACAGGCATTCTCACTTGTATTTTTAATAGATACCTAAATTCCACATGTCCCAAACTGTTCTGATCAGCACCTGAGCCAGCACTCCCAGTGGGCCCCTCCTGTGCTCATCCTCATCATCATCTCAGCCAAGGGCAGCCTTCCAGTTGTCCAGGCCACACACCTTGGAGACATCCTTGACTCCTCTTTCTCTCTTACCCCCACTTCAAATCTGCCAGCAACCCTCCAGTTCAACTTAAAAATACCATGTTTCCTGGATACCAAGATACAGATTATGTCACCTTTTAATATCTCCAAATTAGGATGTGTCCCACAAACTGGCATCTTAAGCTCAATGAGATACAGTGTATCGAGGATTTGGTGATTGTTCAGCTCTTCACTGTTAGCAGGTCGAAGTCACTGTCATTTCCCACCTGGATTGGGCTCCCTTCCTCTCCTTGCACAATCCGTTGTCTATTCTCAAATGATAGCTAGGGCGACTCATTTACAGCATAAATTAGATCAAAACCTTCCAGGGACTTCTATCTCATACTAAGAAAAAGCTGGTGTTCCCATAATGTCCTAAAGACTCTATGTGACCCAACCCTTCTTTTCTTTCTGATCTCATCCCTACTCTCTTTACCCCTCATGCATGCTGCCCCAGCCCCACTAGCTTCATTGCTGTTCTGCAAGAAATTCAGACATGTTTCCACCTTGGGGCTTTTGCAATGGGTGTTCCTACTCCTTAGCACACTCTTCCCTCAGATATCTGGTTGGCTAATGCCCTTATTTCCTTCAGGTTTTGCTCAAACATCATCTTATCAATGAGCCTTACTTCGACTGCTCTAATTAAAATTAAAATTGCAACTGACCCCTTACCCCAGTACTTTTCTCCCATTCTCCATTCTCTGCCCTCCCCCCCCAATAGCACTTACCACCTCCAGCATAATTACAGTTTACTTGTTAATACCTAGCTTCTGTTACGAGACTGTCCACTTCACCAGGGCCAGAGCTATTTTGTATGTTTTATTTACTGAAGTATCGCAAGCACCGAGAGCAGCTACTCACAGATATTTGTTAAATGAGCGAATGGCTTTCAAATTCAAGAAAAGCAGCAGTGATCAGAGAATGAGAAGTCGAGCGAATAGACTTGTCAGAGACTCTGGTGTGATTTCCGTGATGACAATGAATGTTTTCCCTCCCTTCCTTTCAAAATAAGACTCCCAGAGCTGAAGCCATTATTGAGAGCAGTGGTGGGGAAAGGGGTGGGAAAGATGGCCCATGAGAAACAGCCAAGTCAGCGACTTTAGTGAGCTTAGGTAAGTCAGAAGCTGGGCGGCCGTGTGTGACTTTCATTAATCATCCTCTTCACACCACGTCAACACAAGTGATGACTTTTGTCTGTACCTATTGCCTCCAGTGCCATGATATACGGCCTGAGAAGGGTCCTGGGCACTAACTGTTGAAGAACCCAAAAAGATGAATGCTCACATCCTGGCCTGTGAAGGAAGAGGGAATCATAGCGAAGGGTGGATGGGCTATACAAACCTGTGTTGGCTTTGGCCTCCCAAGCCTGACCTGGCTGTTCTCCCCATACAGGGGCCTGGCAGCTGTTAGCCAGCAGAAGAAATAGCCTTTATGCATAGATTTGTGCCCCCTTGGTTGCATGTCTCCCTAAGAAGGCAACAGAAGAGGAGGACCGATGAGGACAAAGTTACGAGATCAAGCAAAAACAGTGAGATTTGGAACCCCTCTTCTGCGCAAACCTTTTTGCTCTTTCCCTGACTTTCTACCTCAACAGAGGGCTCCGGGTGAGAGTGTGTTAATATAGACAGAGATGAGAAATTAGATCAAGAGTCTCATTTTGCCATTTCCCACACCCTTGGGCAAATTATTGATTCTAGTTTTCCCGTGATTTATAAAGTGATAATCTCTTGTAGCCATATAGAATTGTAGATGTCACAAAATAGCTCTCACATTTATTAACTAATATGAGCCTCTCAATACTGTAAGGGCTAGGGGGATATAATTATCTCTATTTTACAGATGAGAAAATCCCCACGATCCAGAGAATTCAAGCCATTTGTCTGAGGTCACAAGGCTAGTAAATAGAGATGAAATAAAAATTCAGCTTTTTGTTTCTTAGTTCAGTAAATTTTAAGAGTCTCTTAGGCATTTGAATCTAACTCATTGACGTTGACGTTGAGTAACCAGTGATAACCCTACCAAGGAAAGATTTTCTTAAAAACAGAAGATAAAGGAACGGCATAAAGATGATGGTTGACTGAAAAAGGTGAATCCTGAGTTATATTTCTTCATTCATTCATTTCACAGGGTTTTTTTGAGCATCTGTTTTTTTTTTTTTTTTTTAAAGATTTATCTATTTTTTGAGAGAGCGAGAATGAGAGAGAGCACATGAGAGGGGGGAGGGTCAGAGGGAGAAGCAGGCTCCTCGCCGAGCAGGGAGCCCGATGCGGGACTCAATCCCGGGACTCCAGGATCATGACCCGAGCCGAAGGCAGTCGCCCCAACCAACTGAGCCACCGAGGCGCCCCTGAGCATCTGTTTTGTGCTATGAACTGTTCTAGGTATTTTACATCCCATGGCATCTAAATCTTGAAATAGCTTTGCATGGTAGGGAATAAGATATTTCAAGTGCTGCAAAAGTTAATCACCCCATATGGGTATTCCTTATGGCTAGTGAACAAATCATAGAGGGTTTGTGGTTCCTAGAAAAAGCCATGCCTTTGTTCATGCTGTTCCCTTCATGTGTGATGCCCTTCCCTCATGGCTAGGGGAGCAGAGTATCTACCTCTGCTCCCCTTTGAAGATTCAATTCAAGCATCACCATGGATGAAAACTTCCTTGATACCTCACCACTTCTCATAGAATTGACTGCTATGAACTCTGAACTCTGCAGACATTGTCACATACGTGCAGTCCTTGCTAACATTGGCTCATACATCTGTCTTCCTCTACCAGGCTCTGAGCATCTCGATGGAGGAGATAGTATCCATTCAGAAACTAGAAGCAATCCAGAAATAAGTATCATTTTGAAATTTTTCATTATATTATTTTTTAAAGACTTTGAGAGAGCGCGAGTGGGTGTGAGAGGGAGAGAGAGCGCACGCATGAGTGGGGGGAGGCGCAGAAGGATAGGTAGACGCAGATTCCCTGCTGAGCAGGGAACCTGGGGCTCCATCCTGGACTCTGGGATCATGACCTGAGCCAAAGGCAGACACTTAACTGACTGAGCCACCCAGGCGCCCCAAATTTTTCATTATATTATTGTCTAACGTATACTTACATACATTATTTTTCTAGATTTGAAATCATGTAGTTTTATTTTCTCTTTTCTAACAAAGGTGGGTTTTCCCCTACATTTTAATGCTTCCTAAACTGGGACATATTTTACAACCAATATTATTATTAATATTATAGTGTTTATCAACCCCCAAATGTGATGTTAATTTGGCTAGTGAGTCTTAAATTGCTACCATCTGGAATTGAAGGAATACTGTGTGTGTGTGTGTGTGTGCATATACTGTATTTTCCCAAATATATATGTATTATTTTCTCAAATATACATACATGTATGTATATATTCATATATTCTGTAATGTATAGTAGACCACATAATATTATATTGTGAGCATTTTCTCATGACAGTAAATATTCCTTGAAAACATAAATTTTAATGGCTGCCTAGTTTCCTACTCTATGAATGAGCCACATATTCTTTGATTACTGTTGGCCCTTGGAACTATTTCCAGTATATGTGTGTAATTCTGTTATGAACATCTGTGCACGTATATCTGATTGCATCCTTCGATAAATCCCACAAGTAGCATCACCCACTCAAAGACAAACACCTGTGTAGACTGTGTGTCCGGGACACGTTGTCTGAGCTGCCCCTCCCCAGTCCCCGCAGCTTTGGTCTGCCCTAGTGCTGCCTTCCGGGGCACAGAGAGAGATAGATGGTAGTTGTAGACCCCTTGGTGGCCGCCTGAGGACACTCAAGCCTTCTTCTGCAAAAAGCACACCAGCAATTTTAAGAAACGCATGGCATCCCTATCTTTTTTGTTTCTTTTATTTATTTAAAAACATTTATTTATTTATTTTAAAGATTTATTTGTTTTAGAGAGAGAGTGGGGGGTGGTGGACACAGAGGGAGAGAATCTTTAGCAGACCCTGCACCGATCGTGGAGCCCGACACGGGATCTGAGTGGAAACCAAGAGTCGGACACTTAATGGACTGCGCGACCCAGGTGCCCTGGTGTCCTTATCTTTGAACCCAAGTTACTTGAGTTCCAAAAGCCATAGACTGACTTGGACCAATAAGAAATAATGAAACTAGGGAGCAGCAGCTTAAGTTTTCTGGAAGTGTGTTCCATTCCGGCTTTTAAACATTAAGTAAGCACCTTCTGTATGTTGGCAGTGTGCTGATTTGGGGAACGGAATGCTGAAAAAGACCCAACTCTTACCTTTAAGAGGCTCAGAGACGAGCGGGGGCATCCGAGTGGTAAGTGCATTATTTAATAAAGTATCACGACTGTTTTGTTGGGTTGACTGATGACGGCAAGGGCAAATGGAGGCACAGTTAATTGCAGGCGAGAGAAGAGGAGGTTCGGGAAAGGTGGAGTGAAGCTGGAGCTGAGACTGGAAAGCGGAGAGGCGAACACACAGAGATTGCTGAAGAAAGGTGATTTTCTTGCCTTTTGCTGTACTACCGAGTACCAACTCCCCTCAGCATTTTTCCTGAAGGCCCAATTATGCTCTTTCCAGGGAGGACACTTTCCTATACTCGTCATTTTAACACCCTGGCCCGAGGGGAAATGCAGACCAATGGCTGCCTTTTTTTTTTTTTTTTTTTAAGGTTTGTCAACGAGAGTAAAGCAGGCAAATCTCAGAGGCTGGGAGGACACTGATTATGAATGGCTCCTTCTCCCAGGATGACAGGATTGCGCCTTGCCCAACATATTTTTTGTCCTGTAATAATTCAGTTTTGCTAAGAAGGCAGAAAGGGAGAGAATAACTTTCTGGAGGGCGCCCCTGAGGTGTGGGAGCAGATGTGAACATGAGTCTGAACAGTTTAATGAGCCCGCGCTAGGGGATCACCCCAGTAATTTACGAGAAAATTGATAAGACCTTCCTCATTCAGAGGTCACTTCTCTGGTCACATTGGCTATGTGACAAACACCTGAGAACCAGGAAATGGGCACAAAAAGACTCAGAGATGTCAAAGCTAATGTCAAAAAGCCCATGGACTAAAGCAAAAATGCTTCCTGGCTTTGGTGCAGAACTTATTTTTTCTTACTTAAGAAACAGTTCTAACTTGGCAATCTGGTTTCCCAAGACATAGCAGATTAGATACAGAAAATCAAAAGTGGGAAGAGGAAGGGGGTGCAGGGTTCAGCTCAGGCAAGCTGCATCAAATCCAGAGGCCCTGGCAGAGAACCACCGGGAAAAAGTAGAGAAAACTCAGCAAGGGGCCACTTTCTGGCATTTCGTGGAAGGACTACAGTGTACTGTAGGTCACTGATTCCTGTGGCTGTAAGGTGCATGATGACCCTTGGCCACCGAACAGGACTAAAATTATGTTTAGTGTCCTCAATTTACAAAGCCCAGAGGGGTGGGACACCTTTCTTTTCAAATAGCTAAGATATTTAATTTATACTTAAAAGTTTTTTTTTAAACTTGGAAAAACCAATTATTTGAAATTTCTCTTTCTTAGTAAAACTAGGTTAACGAAATACTAGTGTCTCAAAAGGCAGCTACTGTTAAGAAGCAAAGGAGAGGTCGTCTGTGCGTAGGGAATCTATGGGGCATGAGAAAGGAGTGAGTTATGGCTTCATAGAGGTTTCTAGGGAGCGCAGGGGGACCACAGTTTGGACATAACAACAGAGGTCAAGTCATGGTGGGCTTCATATGGCAAGGGGACACAGTGCAGGGTGTTAGCAAGGGGAGTCGAGTAGGCAGATATATATTAAGAATAATCATGTTGGGGCGCCTGGGTGGCTCAGTTGGTTAAGCGACTGCCTTCGGCTCAGGTCATGATCCTGGAGTCCCGGGATCGAGTCCCACATTGGGCTCCCTGCTCG